CCCCCCCCCCCCCCCCCCTCCCTTGCCATGGCAAGGGGCAAATGGGTGGAGTTGCTCTTACAATTAACACATAGCAAAAACACCTAATCCAAACATACCAATGAATGAAAAACTGGTACAGTACCTGCAAAATCAGGAGAACCGTTGGTTGATATATGCCCTGGACAAGCAAAGGCCTTCCGATCTGACAGCTTCTTCAGAGGAGGGCGTCCTGACTTACTGAAACAAGAAAAAACAACAAAGCTTAGATATAACGATGACGAAATCTGGTTTAACAGGAAAATGAAAACAAAAGATTGAAATAGAGATTGGTTGACACTGAAACAGAACATTAATAAATAAATAAATGAGTTAACACCTTCCATTCCTCTCAGAACCAGGCCTCATACTTTTAAGTGGCTTTGCGGAGGCTGGAGTCTCCAATTTTTCCCTAGTAGCTACGGTGCTAGCCCTAGAAACGGATGAACCCCTACCACTCCTTCCCTGTCTCCGCACACCAACTCCAATTTCCTCTTTATTGAGCAGTTTATTCTTCTTTGTAGGCAATAGGGAAGAACCAGTATTCTGTACAGCAGTCGCAGCTCTATCATCTACTTCACCACCACCTGGTCCTTTCTCTTTCAATCTACTTTCACGGTTTTCACCAGCACCAGATTCTTCACTTTCGGATAATCTGGCAGGAGATGAAACAATTTCTTGTTTAACTCTAATTTGGTGGGCACAATTTGAAACACTCTTTTGAAGCAGCCCATTGGTTCCAAAAGAATTTAACCTAGCGCCAGCATCAGAAGGGGAATAGCCTTCTGAGGGTATCTGCAGTTCATCATGGTTTGACACAGGAGACACTAGATTTGATCTTCTGGTTCGAGAGATTTTTTGTGGTCTCTGACCAACCCATTGAGCCATGGGGGGTGAGGCTGATCCTGTGGGCATAGGACGCTTGCGATTGATAGCCCCACTTATGGAATGATTTTTGTTTACAGTTGCAGGTTGTTCCCATCCCTCAGGTGTTCCAGATGTACGAGGAAAACTAGGAGATGAGTTGCTTGCTGTGATAGGGCCATTTCTTGGTGCCCTTGAAGCCTTTCCTTTTGTCACTGGAGTAGGACTGGGTATTTGACTATCCTCACGAACATTTAATCTGAACAGAGTGATTACAAGATAAGACATTTAGCAAGTTGGTATAAAATACTATGATAACAAATCAGTCAAAGAAATCTTTAATGCAGCTACAAGAAACTCTTTTATGAGCAAAATATGAGTACTTACTTATTGTTTCCCTTTGATCCAAGTCGCTCCTTACTCAACCCAGCCATTAAATCCCTTGAAAGAGAGACCTTGTCCGGCTCATTCTTGAGCACAACACGGGCATTAGCATTGGCAGACAAGGAATTAGAGTCTAACTTGTTAATGCCATTACCACCATTAAATGACCCTGATCTGTAAGAGTTGAGAAGTTTCACATATTAGTTATAGCAAGCAGCAAAAAAGACTAATAATGGGCACAACCAACTAAACTATTATTGCAAGAAAGCAAGACAAGTTTGGAGGAAAATGGATGAGTAGGAATCATCTAATGATGATGACCCAGAAAATCTTCCCTAAAGAAGAAAATGAAAATTTTAAAAAACAACACATGCGCACAAAGTTCAATGATTATAACAACTTTGGTTAACAAATGACACAACACATGATTTCGTCTTTCACTTCTTAGGGCTTTACACATTGAAGAGGAGACCCCTTCACAAAATTGTTCGGAAATATGTGGGACAATGGAGTAATATAATCACACATGTAATTAAATTGTCTTGGAAGACCCACAAATATTTATTCCCAAGTTAAAATGTAACTCCCTTAACACTCAAATCTCCAAATGCCTTAATTTGAATAGCATCAACCTCCCACAACTAAAGCTGAGCTTGAACTCTCTCACAATTGTACCAAACTAAGCTCAACAGGCCTTAGTTTGGCAAGCTTAAACTGTTTAAAGCCCTGCCCTAAGAAAGATTTGCATTGCAAAAAAGATGACAAAATCAAGAAATTCACATTTCTGAATCGCAACAATTATTCTTCTATTCAATTTTACACTTTACAGGTCAAAAAAGGATTATAATGAGAAAAAAGAACATCAAAGCCAGTTTTGTAGTATCAAACTATTCAACAACAAAACATAATGCCGGGACAGAAATCTACAAGGCTGCAAGTTTAAATAATGAAAATTAGTTTGTAACACTACATTAATTTCATGGTTCTACAAAGTTGTCGTGGATACTTAAAATTACAACTCAATTTGATTAGAGTATTTTTTTTAACATATAAGAAGTCACCTGAAACCTTGAGCATCACTAGCTTGGGGACCAGGCTCATCAGTAGGCTTATGATGCAAGTTTCGTTTTAGCTCTGCATCACCATCCATGGGTCTGCAAAATACAGTGCCTACAGAACGCTTCCTTTTCATCTTCTTATCCCATGCTTCCCCTCCAGCAGGCAGTCTGCGAATCTTTTCCTCAACAACATCAGAGCCTTCACCTCTAAGCATATCCCTATCTTTTCCCATGACCACAGGCTGCCTTGTGAGCATATTACTTCTGCCTTCAGCCTGAAAGAATAAAGTTAACCACACAAATTATATGTTATTCAGTAACACAAGTAACTTGATGTGAAATTCTGATAGAATCAGCAAGTAGGGATTTTAAAGTTGGGATGATAATGCTAAATCTGAAAGGTCAGTACTACTCTGTCTGAGAAATTTAGTAAATCTTTGGCACCAGTTACATTTATAGTTTCCTTTCAGTCTTTTGTTGTTTCATATGCCACTACCTATGTTAGCCTTGTGATTTTGATCTGATTTCTCTTCCCAGGTTGTATTTCCTTTCTCTTTTGTAAGACTAACATTTCTTATTAAAAAACCACAAAGATATCGAAATTTGATCATTGATCTTTATTGCACAAACTACAGATTTGAATACTAACAACAGATGAAAATGTGTCTGTGGGTTCATTTCTTTGCATGTGCACATACACACATAAGTGTGTATGTACATCCATGTTTGTATGCAACTGTTTATAGTGTTAATGCACACAGATATGTATGCATGCATGCAATCTAGTAATCAAATTCTTACCACACAGGATACTAAAAAACTTACTTGTATGCAATCAAACCACAAGGTTTAATCTAATAATCCAAAATTTATATAGATAAGAAGACAATTCAAAAGTTACTGTATACAAACCCTTATTTCTGTGACCGATGAGCGAACACGTCTATTCATCACGACGGTCTTAGTCCTGTCTTCCAGCCTTTGATTCATAAGATCTGAAGAGTTTCGATTCATCTGAGCTCCCATCTTCGGCAAGTTTGACCCACCTGATCTTTCGTTTGTTATAAACTCATTCCTTTGCTGCTTCTTTAAGTTTAAAGCTTCACAGTACCTGTTCAATTTGTCTATAGATTCATCCAACCGTTTTGCTCTAACCCTGATCAAAAGTGTTGCAACATCAGTAGCGGGCTAACTTTTAGAATACGATATATATACACATTGACACAAACAACCAAAGGTATAGTATCCAGGGAAACATGTAGACACAAGTTAGAAAGTTCAATTATCTTTATTAGAAGTACAGATTTATTTTTGAACTTCATAAAAAACTTATAGCATTACTAAAGAGGATCTGAAGGCACAAATGAACAATATCAGAGGAGTCACTCAAATTACCTGGCCTTGTTTGAGGCATCTAGCACGCTGGCTTTGACCCACTTCAGTTCCTCTGTAGCCACTGGAGGGTGAGGCTTTAGATGAGCTGCTCCAAATGCATTGTCTTCTGCAGTTCCCCCAAAAGATACTCCCAGAACCCTCCTTAACTCACCTAACGAAGGACACTTCTGATCTGCCATTGTAATAGGATCTAACATCAAGCACTGAGGCAATGGAGGCAAATTCCCTGTCAAAGAAGCACTGCTCCTGGGCGTACTACCACCAGAACTAAACATCCGACTCTCACTACCCTCACGGAAGCTTCCAGACCTATCCAAACTGGCACCAGGGTAATTTCCCCTCAGCCCATTTGGGTAGGCCCCTGCAAAGGCCAACTCCTCTGGACTGGCAGAACTCATCTCAAATCTCACACTTCCCGCCATTACTCAGGCCCAAGGGAACCAGCTCATATCAACAAATAGCTTCTTCCTCAAAACCTAGTTTAACTTACTCAAGAAACAATCTCAAAAGCAGTGATCTACAAGTAACCCGATTTTGGACAAATCATATCCATAAATAAATGCCTATTTAAGGTTCTCTGACCATATCTACAATACACATGGAGCTAGAATTAGTACAAAACCAAAAACCATTCAAAATTTGTTCTTTAAATAAATTCATCAATAATTTATACTCAATAAAGTAAAAATAAAACACTAATCTTTATAGGAAACAATTATAATACAGTGGCGTGTAACTAAACAAATGGTACTAAAGTTTATGTAACTTCACTTTACGAAAACAGAACTGAGTTCAGATAATTCAAAACAGAGTTGACTAAAAACTTCCGTTCCCTCGTGTCCCAAAAGAAATGCAAACGACATCTAGATTCTAAATTATATATCTTCTGAGGTTCCTACATTTACTGAGCAACTCAACAACTACAATTATCCATATATTACTTTTTTTTATATGACTCAACTCCAAAATCAACCTTTATCACTATGAAAACCACATAAACAGCTCAAATTCAAACTAATTTGGAAAAAAAACTGAAAATCACAATATTCAGAAGAAAAACAAAATCAAACCCCCGCTATGCAACCTGATTCAAGCTACTAAAAACTAGGGTTTACCGAAATTGCACCAAATTGAACCCGAATTTCCCTGGCAAATACAAAATTCGGACCAAGAAAAGCTATACACAAATCGAAACGGAAGCGAGACGTACCGGCATTGACCGATCGAGCAAGAGATCGAATTGAAGGGAGGACAAAGTATCAGTGAATTCTAGGGATTTGGGTTTTGGGCATTGGAGGCTTGCAGCTGTCGTCGCGGAGATTCTGTGAGAGAGAAAGAGGGGGGAAAGAGGAATTGCTGAGGGTCCCACAGTAATTTAGGGGCTGACCTTTGACTGCCGAGTCCAGGAGAGGAGAGAGAGAGAGAGAGAGAGAGAGAGAGGAGAGAGGAGAAGACAGTGGGGCTAAAAATCAGGGCCTTTATCTGGATTTGGGTTTTGTTTGGGCAACCGCTGAATTGGACCGCTGCTCCCTCGGTCCCCTTAAATTTAGAGAGGGACGGCAAAAATTTCTTCTTATTTTTCACTTTTGTTTTTAATTATTTTCCTTCATAGGCAAAGCCATGAACATAATTCAATCATAGGCTCTCTCTTATTTTCTTTTATTTTCCTCTCATTGTACCTTTTCTATGCATATGTGGAGGTTGTGGATTGTGTAGGGTATGGGACAAAAATGATGTAATTGGAAAAAATAAAAAAGAGTTTTGGATTTGCAAAAAATGGACTTGGAGTTGACTTCGGAGTTTAATTCGTGATGTATGCATATCTAATTTGATGCAACACTATTAGAACACAGACATGTGTTCAGGTCAAACAAGGTACACAATGAAAACATAGCTCTAACCAAAAATTCTGTTTGTCTAAAAGAAAAGGAAGTTTTGAAAAAGTTCTTAATGGGGTAGGCATGGGTTAGGTTAGGTTGGGTCGGTTTTAATTCCAATATGATATATAGCAATTTATGATTTCTTGAATCCAAAATCTGCTCATTATTAGATCAACCCAACTCAATCCAAACTTTTTGTGATCGGATTTGGCGATTCGATCGGGTTAACTCAAAATTGTGCGTACTTTTAAGTTTTGGTTTCAACCCGTACATAACAATTTATTATGCTTTGAATCCAAGACTCACTCATTTTAGACCAACCCAACTCACTATAATTGAGTTGGTGGTTTAGTCAAGTTGACCTGAAACCCCTACTTCTTATCATGTGTCACCCCATTTTACTTTCTAATTTCCATCCATGCTATTTATTACTGAGGGAGTATTTATCATAAATCTATTGTCAATAAGTTGATGTGTCTTAGTTGGAGTACAATCATTCTATGGTACCACAAGAGTACCATACTCATATTTTCATTAGTAAATAACCAGTGACATATTTAAAAATTATATAAGCAAGCTTAGAAAATAAAACAACCACCAGAGTTGTTAGTGGAACTTTAAAACAAAAATTTAACTTTTAAGGAGAAATTCCATTTATTTCTCCATTATAAAAACAATAAGAGAGGAGTGTTGTATCACTACATTGGAGTGTCAATGATAACTTCATAATAAAAAGAGTAACAATATTATCACTCTTCATTTAGGTTTTGCATTCTAAAAATTATTGTGTCATCGTAGGCAGCAGCATACCCATTGTGGGCTAAGCGAGTCAATTGACCCACGTAATGCCAAAAACTACCATTGAAGCCGAGATTGTTGACTCCCTAAACCTAGAGGTGTCAAACGTGAAGACCAGCCCATTTAAAATCAGGCCATTGAATTATTCGAGACGGGCCATGTTGGCCTAACTCATTTATTAAAAGATTAAACCCACCCCCACCCAAAGCCAAGTCCATATTGAACCGAGCCGTGCCTAGCATGGCCCACCAAGAATTATGCTTAGGACGTGTCGTGTCTCATTTAAAAAGGCTGGACTCGTATCTTGCTGGGTCAACCCGACTCGTTTGACACCTCTACCCAAATCAGGGTGGTTGGAAAAGAACTTCAACCGCATGTTCGATGAATTTCCTAAGGAAGGTAGCAGAGCAGTGCTTGCCTTGTGTGCTTCCTTTTAAAAAACAAAAAGACATGGCCAAAACAACTCTGTTTTGACTAAGGTCACTTGTATTTTCTTGACTAGGTGAAAGAAAAAAAAAATGTCATTTTGGCTAGATGAAAGAAAAATGGTCATTACAGCCCAATACTCCCATCTGGATACATGGTTGGGTGAATTTTGCAATTCTTGGTTTCTTAAGTCTCGTTCCTTGCGAGGGCCATACTTGATATTTTTCTTTGTTTATGCAGAAAGACGGGTTAGTCCTTCGCTCATTTCTCGTACCAAGGAAGAAGAGTCTAGCTTCAAGCAATGGAACACAACTCAACCTGAACACAAAGGCAGAGTCGGACGATGAGTATTCTGCTGAGGTGAGCTGCCCCTTAGAGGTGCCCCAATTCATTTGCCCACTCGTGTGCCATTTTATTCATAATCGAAATAGCGATGTGTTCTCGAGCTTCCCTACCCATCCTCCGGTTGTCAGTTCGTCGAGGCCCAATAAGTGATTGAAAGACAAAGTTTTTGTGACCCCACTCTTGTTTCGAATTGGTTCCAACATTGGATGAATGCCACATAGTCGCAAGGAGGCAGAGCTTATTATAGAAGCAACACTTTAGACATCAAAACTCTGAAACGATGAGCCACGTCATTTTGGAAGCCATTGTGCAACACCATAAGCAATATAAGTTGAAATACACAAAAATAAAATCATAAAAATGGCAGGGGCCAATATTTCAGTTTTTGAATCACATGCCACTTCACAAACTTCCTATTTGTTTCGCTTTCTTTACCAACTCTATGACATAATTTTTTAAGAATATGCATCTCAATTCTAGAGGACCTTTACAACAACCTGCTTTTTAATTTTTAATTGAAACCAACAAGTCTAAAATAAACGAGTCCACAATGAGTATCGTGGACGTGACCATGCTACTGTGTAAATTGATATTTCATTTGTATCATTTTAAATTTCAAGTTGAAATAAACGAGTAGGGTAGATGTGGCCACGTTTACTTTGTAAATTGATATTTCATTTGTGTATGTGGCCACGTCCATTCGGCCATATACAAGCATATGTTTATGTGATTTTTAACATGTCATTGTTTATGCCACACACACAGTTATCATATGCAAGAAGAAACTCATTAAACTTGTTTACACACTCTGTTGTAGAAGAAGAAATTCATGTTTCTCCTCCTAATTTAAATGGGTCTTACTCCTCTCCTCCTTCTCCTCCACAAATTCACCTTGAGAAAACGATCCAATCCCTAGAAGTACTAATTTCTGCTTCTAGTTTGGGTGCGGAACCAATTCAAGGTGAGGGTGCGACTAAAGAAGAATTGGTAGGTGATCACCATATTCAAATTGATAATAATTACAATGCTATTTTGAGACTTGTTTTCACATGCAAATGAGCAACTAATGGTCGATGATGTTGCAGGTACGCATTCTAGGGGATTGAATAAGAGATGCAAGAGGATCTTGTCTGAGATAAAAGTAGGCCCAAGTCATCAATTGAAATCCAAAGTATGAGGACTTTACAAGCGTCCCAACAAAGATTGTGTATAGGAACAAGAGGCACAACAAAGATTGTTGAGTGTTTTTAATTTTTTTTTGCTGGCAGCCATCATGTGGTCGCACCTTGTACTTGCAAAATTTGGCTTTATTGATTTGCAATTCATGTGCTTGATCTAATTTGTTTGAATTTTGTTTTCTTACTAATATAATGATTTTACTTACATAAAAGTATTATTTATGTGCAACTTCATATCCCTTACTTACAAAATATTTAGGACTGGTTTCAAATGGGAGGTCCAAAACCTCATTCCATGATAATAATCTAGACCCCAATCCATATATTTCATAACTACTTCCTCAGAGCCTCCCTCTAAAGGTTTCTCTCAAATCTCCTTGCAACATACGATACATAGATCATATTTACAATTAAGATTGTTACAGCTTTCATGAAAATATAAAATAAGTTTTGTAATTATTGCAATACACTCGATGGTTTCTATAATCTGCCTTTTGCACCTTTAGCTCCGAGACATACAAATTTTGTATCTTAGCCTCTGTATTCATTTCAAAAACGTGTTCATCAGCAATCACTTTCAAGTATGGAAGCATGACATGAAACACTCAACTTGATCATTGAAAAGATTCAATTCCCAGGTCAAATAGGTTCTTTTGATCTCAAACATGGTATGTAATTGCACATTCCACAACAAAATGGTAAAGCATTAGAAATTTCACTCTCCGAAACCATAGGGTACACCTTACGTATGCAAGCTATACAAAATCCCTTTTGCTTATACCTTACGCACTAAACAATCTTGACTCTATTCTTTTTTTTGGTACTGATGGTACACTACATCCTTCCCAGGGGCGTAGACATAAGTACTTGTGACCTGAAGTTGGGATGGATATGAGATCTTTGCTTTTAAATGTGCCAAACTAACTCTTTTCAAATGCTTGTCAATAAGAACTTTAGGACCTTCCAATATATCGAAACCATTAATTCTGCAAAGTTGGGCCTCATAACTTATCTTGGTGATAAGACAAGGAAAGACAAGACTCCTATGTCCTTAATACAAAGTTGGGCCTCATAAGTTATCTTGGTGATAAGACAAGGAAAGACAAGACTCCTATGTCCTTAACAACCTTGACAGCTAAATCACAAATAAAATAAAATAAATCATTTTATGTAAAGGGATTTTCATGCGTAATCAAACTATGGCTCGCACTAGATAGGTAGAATGAAGTGAAACAAATTTTGTTTGAGTAGTAGGAGAAACCCATGATCGAACTAGCATAGCAATGGTATGGTTGAGGTCAGTTAGACAATTATAAAGTATTCCCTCACCCTCAGGGGTGGAGCTAGAATTTTATATTTGAGGGGGCCAAAATGTTAAACACAAAAAGTTTAGTTGTATATTTTTTTTGGCCTATTAAGTAAATTGTTGCCTACAAAAGCACTAAATTGAAATGAGTGGTTTTCTTTCATAAATGTTACTATTATATTCATATTGAAATACAATTTTGATAAGTATTGATTTGTGATGAGGGGCCATAGGCTTAAGTATAGCAATTTTTCTTTGCATTTGTTACCACATCCAATATATACAGTCAAAGGGGTAAAATACATT